AAGGAGGAATTGTCCGAACGCCATGAAGAGAGATGACCAGTAATGAAGAGCTCGGTCAGGCAGAAAGTGAGAGGGGATGATGGTTAGAGGATCTGCAGAGGGAGCTGAAGGGCGAGCCAGGCTAAGGGATAGAGGGAGAGGAGGAGCCTTCAGAAAGAGTTGGAGGCAGAGAGAGACAAGGCGATGGCGGAAAAGAAGAGCTGAAAAAAGGAGTTAGAGGAGAAGAGGCCTAGGGTTGCGTCTGAAAGGGTGACCCTGGCAGGGCTGGGAGAGAGGGTGAAGGCGCCTCTAAAAGGGCGGCCTACCCCGATCTATGCGTCGCCGGGGTGAGCAATTTCAAAAAGGTCTACTGATTTCAGATGGCAGTTGATGCCGCGGGTCGCCAAGCGCAGCTTGGCTTAGCAAGAAATCTGGGAGGGCGGGCCCATCGAGGACGACCGCTGGAGGCAGAACTGAAGCACGAAGTTATTGAAGAAGCTCTAGAAGTCAATTTCTATAAACACGAATGGCTGAGTTTTTGGGACAGTGGCTGGAAAGATGTTCAAACCAGGCTGAAGAACTGTTCCTAGACTTAGACCCAGTAGTGTAACATTGGCGAAGATGATGTGGCCCTGACCCCCTTGGAGAGGGTATTGAAGAAGAGGACCTCAGCTCCAGCTGAAGAGGAGTAACTGGAAAGAAGGAAGAAGGACTGTGGCCACAGACTTGCTTTTGTTTGTTTTGTTGTTTTTTTTTTTTTTTTTTTTTTTTTTTTTTTATTCTACTTGATTGATTAGATATAAACTTTGTTGTACAAGTTGTTGGATAAAATAAATTTCAGTTGTTTGTGCATTTCACAACTGTTTTTGCTTGTGAGTCGATGGTGTGGGTGTAAAACCTTGTGATAGAACTTGTGATAAAACTGAATTTAGTAATTTCCTCAAGGCAGAGTGGGATTGGAAGTCGTAATAAAAAATTGGAGTGGCCAGAGTAAGTTAGTAACTCGTTCATGCAGAGTGAATTGAACTAGAACAATGCAGAGTGGAAGTTGAACTTGTAATAAAAACTCAAAGCAGAGTAACCTTGTAATAAGATAAATGCAGAGTGAGGTGAACTTGTAATTAAAAAACTCAATGCAAAGTAACTTGTAATAAAAAGTCATGCAGAGTAAACTTGTAATAAAAACTCAAATGCAGAGTAAACTTGTAAACAAGTAAGACAGAGAACTTGTTAAAAAAAACTCAAATGCAGAGTGAAGGTGAACTTGGTAATAAGAACTCAATGCGAGTGTTAGGAACTCCTCAAATGCAGAGTTTGAAATTTAAAATGTAGTAAAATTATAAGGCTTACGTTTGCCACACTGCTCAAGTAGGTTAGTGGTTTTACGAGTGAGGCTTGGTTTGTGAGTTTGATTGAGAAAAAGCAAAACTGACTTGTGTAAGACGGCTTTTTGGAATTCGACTTGGGCGTAAGAGTGGTGTTGAAAGTATTTGAAGCTGGAATTTCATGGGTGGCCTTGACCGAGTCCCTGCATACGTGCTCATTTGGCGGCAAAAGACATTGGTAAGATATGGTCTGACCCTGAAACTGTGGCGCTTCGGTCTGGGTGAGACCTTGTCAGGCAAGCGAGTGCTTCACGTTGGTTGGCGAGGCTGTTAGGTGCTCGGTCTGGCCGAGGCTTTTAGCGCTCAGTCTGGCTGAGGCTTTTAGTGCTCAGTCTGGCTGAGGCTTTATTGTGCTCAGTCTGGCTGAGGCTGCTTTTAGTGCTCAGTCTGGCTGAAGGCTTTAATTGTGCTCAGTCTGGCTGAGGCTTATGATACGAAGTGCTGCAAATGAGAATGTTATTGGACAACAAATAGAGAGCCAAGGTATAGAATTGTTGTCATGAATCAGTGGAATCGCAGTCGATCAAGTTTACATTAGGTAACAAAACAAAAAGAAAAATAGCAACAACTGAGCAATACAACAGTAGGAACTCTATTGAAAGTAACGTTTCAGGTGTTCAGCGTTCCATGGGTTGGGGGAAGGTCTCGACCTTCCATGTCCTGAAGTTGGTAGGTACCCGGACGTGGTCGGGCTTCTCACAACGTAAGGTCTCTTCCCATTTTGGCTGCCATTTAACGCCTCAGTCGGATTTTTGGGTGGGCTAGAGTTGCTTCTTTTCAAGACAAGGTCCTTACGGCGACTCCCTGGTCCGGACCTTCCGGTCATAGTGAGTTCTCATTTTCTGTTGGTATGAGGCAAGTCTGACGCGCTGGTGGTCTCTCTGAGTTCCTTCGATTAGGTCCAGGTCTGGCCCGATGATGCTCTTTCCGTTTTATGCTGGATCCGGATGCAAAACCCTAGGATTGGGCCAGACTGACTTTTACTGGAACAACCGCCTCAGAACTAATATGTTAAGCAAAAAGGGGGTTTTTATTCCAGTGGGAGTCCCGAGCTGTAGTTCGGTAGCCCAGAGTCATTCGGTAGTTTCCTCGGCCCAAAGCCCCCTTTGCAGCCTGCGAGCTTTAGTTTTGATGATCTCAGGAGAGAACGGTTGGTGACCTCGACTTGGCCAATTGGCCTGGGGATGACCGGGGGAAGAGAAACTACGGTTGAATCTGGAGGTCCGGCGCAGAACTTCCTGTAGCTTGGCGTGTCAAATTGTTTTGCCGTTGTTCAGAGACGATGGCCTGAGGGAGTGCAAACTGTGCAAACGATCGGACTGCCAGATGACTTGGTTGCGTTTCGTTTCCGGTTAATAGTGGCAAGGGCTTTCTGGCCTTCTACCCACTTGGTGAAGTAATCAATGGCGACGATCGCAAACTTGGTCTACCTCTCGGCCGGCGGGAGTGGACGGCGACCCAGTTGATCCCCAATTTGGCGAACGGATAAGGGCTGCAAAGTGGTGATCAACTCTGAAAGAGGAACATGGGGATGTTTGGCAAACGCTGACACTTATTACATTTGAGCACGAAGTCAGTCGCGCATCTTGGTTGAGGGTAAGGCCAGAAATAATCCAGTGCGAAGTAGTGGCTTTGGGCCAGGTGACTGCTCTGGCCGCGATGATGATTGCCCAGATACCCTCATGAATTTCTTGCTATATCACATATAGTTGCTTGAGTCGGATTGAAGGCACCGCAGATAAGGGCCGTGAGAAGCCACGTTTTGGTACAAATGCTGCTGACGAGGTATTGTAATGGACGACCGGGCCTGACTTTGACGGCTTGCTGTTGGTCCGTCTGGAAGTTTCCCCTCCGTTGTCAGAAATAGAAAAGATGGTCCGATGCCAGGGATGGGCCTTAATTTGGAGGAATTGGTATTTTC